TCCTAAAATGTACTTTCTCTTGTCAGAATCCTTTCACCCAGAGCTTTGGGAAATGTTTTTTCCTTTTTTGCTGAGGTTGCAACTGAATATGTAGCGTGATTGACCTTTTCTCTGGAAAACATCAAACGGTAGTCGTTATTATTTGAGGTAGAAGTTGACATTGGCTGTCTTTGATGGGAGAGCCCCATTCAAGTTCCAGATTGCGGCAGATGCACTTTAAGTTCTTCCTCATCGACGATCAATTTGTAATACTAATAAGTAACCACACGTCAAATAATTGTAAATAATCTTTACAGTCACAGAAATTCCACTCAGACGGGTTTAAAACTTCCAGAGGCTACACTGTCTTTGACTGAATTATTCTGTTACTGCACTTTCAGCAAATTCTGAAACCACAGGAGCTTGAAGTCTCATGCACTTCACAGCCCAAACTGCATGTCATTACTTCTGCTGACCGCAGATGAGAAGTGATAAATATCCAGGAGTAACTGTGACGATGACACTGTCTTCTCTGGAAAGAGGAAGCCATAATTGCATGATTTCTGAGTACAGTACATGCATGCTGACTCAATTATCCTGACTCCACTGGGCAGTCCTAAAGGTGCAGAAATCACAGCAGAAAAACCCAGCTGGATGTTGTTTCCATGGATTTAATCTTAATCGAATAAAAGTGTCGAGACTGTTGTTTCAACACGTCCCTTTTGGAAATTTTGGATTCTTTTCCAAGATGTAACTTGTGTTTTATTCCTCTTTCTTTATCTCGAGATGTTTTTTCTTTTAAGATTCTGCTGACTTGGTAGCGTTGCATAATTTGTGCAGATTTTTCACATGCATGCTTAACATGCTGCCACATACAAAGACAATGGATTCAGATCTGGTGACTAAAGTGTTCATTGAAGTGCACTGAGCTGTCACATTGTGAAACCAGTTTGAGAGGCTGGAAATAACCAGAAGATGGTAAATTATGGTCATAAAGAGAGTCATACGTTCACCTGTGACACTGAAACCATGATTGATTGGTAGTTATTAAAAGAGGGCCAAGAAAAAAAAATTCCCAACAGCATTAGCGCATGGACTTTGGACACACATCCTTCTGGTCCAGTGAAGAAGAAAGAAGGTAACAGGAGTGGTGGCAGTATGATTAATTCTTCAAACACCTAACTCAGGATAAGCAGACTAGGAATTTGCAGGAATATCACGTTCTATACTTTCCTCCTCACTTGGGAATAATCGGTTTAAAGCCAAAAAGGCTTTAAACCTGGAAAACAAACTACACCGAATATTTTTGATGTCACGTCATGATCTGAAGCCAAGGACTCACAAAAACATGGTATTAATGGTATTTAATATGAAACATCAGACGGCACCATATTTTGGAAGATGCATGCACAGTCTAAACATGGCAAGAGGCAGATGCTACATGTGATTCTTTTTGCAAATGAGGCGACAAGTTCAGGGAGGGAAAGAAAAGACAGCTATTGTTTCGCCTCCCCTGCCCTTGTGACAGCTGTGGAGGTGTGGGCCTCCTGCAGGAGAACACTGAGCACGGAGACAATATGAATGGCTTCGCCAAGTGTGAAGTGTGTGGGCTTTGCTCTGTGCAACAGGGGCTGCTTTCAGAATAGCTCATCAAACACCATCAGGCTCTTTATTGTGTTCTTTGGAACATTTTGTGTAGATGTTTTTCTTTATCTTCAGAGCGTGATAAAAACTTTTACGCTCCCGCTCTAGCTTTCTTTGCCCGTGCTTATCTGGCTGTGAAAGCAGATGATTTATGTACCGTCTTCACACTTGAGTTTATGTGTTATTGCGATAAGGCCAGTGGGGTTGTGTGCGTGTCTGTGTGATGGTTTATGAGTGTTTATTGAGACCGCAGATTGTCGGATGGCCTACTGGAGGACACAAACAATCTTCCGTGGGAATGCAAAGTTCCATGAGTTCCCAATCCCTCTCCTTATCTCCAGCGTTCCCACATGAGTAATGCATGTTGTCCTCTGCACCATCTGACCACCGCACTGCTGGTGACCATTTGCAAACTGCATGCGTTTAGTTGCGTGCTGCAAGGTGGTTATAATGAACTACATCTGGGCAAAACAATCGCAAGTGATTGTCAGAAACGTCTGAAATACATAAATAAAAAGCTTTTGTCTTTGTGTTAACCAAGAACGCAAGAGTGACAGACAACAGTGTGTGAAACGAATTGAAAGGTGGAGGAGGTGATGGTGTTGGGTGGGGTGTGTGTATGTGTGTGTGTGAGAGAGGAATCAACCTCAAGTTTTGCATACTTTCCAGTGTCTCTCATACACAGTTAGTATGTCAACACCATGGTGTCCACCTGCCTGCTCACCTGCCAGACTGTTCACTGGAATCACCTGGCTACACTCAGGGCCCTGCCCATGGGTGTGAACACGAGGCAGAATTTAAAAAACAAACTGTTGCTCCCTAACTACAGATGACACAAATCATTATTAGGTAGACGTTTAGTCCGACACAAATGAAACCATTTAAATCAAACAATACGATTTTTGTGTTTATGCCTGTGAAGCAGCTAGATTTCAGTAAATAAATCGTGAGCATCTCTCATACTCAGCGCATGTTTATGTTTAGTGTTTGTTCACTGAAAGATTGCTACTGTGAAAAAAACACCCACTGTCACTAATGTCTTGGCACACACACACTTTTGGGTAGACGTTGGGGAAATTCCCAGTAACCTGCATGAGTAAAGGTGATTTGCGTATGCTCACTAATCTAAGGGGTTTGGCTGTAACTGTAAACCTATTACACCTGGACACACACACACACACACAGACACACAGGCATGCACACAGCCCCTTTGCTTCAAGGCCTCGCACACTAATGGTCATTAAGTGGTTGAATGTGTGTTTGTGTGCGTGTGTGTATACACATGCATTCATAAGCCAGTTTTACAATTCACCTGCTATTCTTTGACCGTTAAACATCAAGTGACTCAGACGTAGTGCGGTTAGTTGATTAAATCGCTCGCGCACGCATGGACACCGTTACAAATGCACAGCAACGAAAGAAACAGGGAAATATATGAAAACGCATGTCAACAGCAGCAAAATGTCATCATCATCTTTTTGGCTTCCAAGAAATTAGGAAAGTGGAGAAGATTATGTGCAGCAGATAAATCTAGTGATGGTTAACCTGCCTTCTTGAGATAGGAAAAAGTAATCAATTAAGTTTGTTTGGCCTCGAACACTTCTTGAAACGATTCCCTGATTAAAGCACGACTCCCCTGGATGTAAATTCTTGAGCACATTGATGGATTGCCACATCGTATTTAGCTTTCCCACTCCAGTTTCCTGTAACACATTTCAGGTCCAAAAACACAAATTGTAACACCTACATTTTCTAGTAAAGCAATAATTCTTAGATTTCACCCACCTGTGCAAGTGTGTGCGTGTGTGTGTGTGTGTGTGTGTGTGTGTGTGTGTGTGTGTGTGTGTGTTACTGAGTGCAAGGGTCCAATGTCTCTCTGGCCTTATCGCCTTGCCTGAATGCTCCAGGTGCAGACTGTCCTCTAAGAACCCTAACCGTCAGCTGTAACACTGAATGCTGAGGGTTTTTCCGAACACGTTTATCAAGTCCTTTTGTGAAGCTCTTGTGGGTATTTTGACAAAGAATCATTCCTACAACTGCAGCTACAACTATTTCTAACCTTAAACATTTCATTCAACACTTTTGCACAACTGTTCTTGCAGATAGCAGTAATGTCTTGGTACTACTGTGGATGCTGACACGTCTTTAACACACATTTGTGCAATGTTATGGATGCAGACGGGGTAAAGCAAATCTGACCTGGCGATTGCTCTTATCTGCTCTTTGTGCCAAGAGCTACAACAGAACACTTTCAAATCTGTACAGCTGACTTTTCCTTTTCTTTCCTTCTTTAGCTTTTGGCATCAAAATTACTTGGTTTGTGTCTCTGAGTGAAATATAAACTTTCATATGTTGACCACATGTTGCAAAGCAACCCCCCGAATCTGCAAGCTGTTTTTTTTTGTTTTTGGTTGTTGCTGTAATTTCAAATTTTGTATGAAGACATGGGTGGTTTTTTTTGTATAAAAATGATGCAACATCTGTCAACAATTAGGCAGCTTGTTTTCCTCTCAGCTCGATTATTTGAGTGCCTGAAAACCTGCATTTCTGACTTTAACTGACTTAAACTCTAAGCATTTATCTCAGGGTGCAGCTGCCAAACACATGAAACGTGGAAAAATAAAAGTGTCACAGGTATAAGTTATACTCTCATCAATCATTTGGTTGATTGATGAGAGTATAGCTGAGTAAAACTGAATCAGTGTGCGCCCCTCCTGAGATGAACTTTGACCTTATAAAAAATACAATTACCTGGTTATTTTATCTTTTTAGGAAATTGCATGAAAGTTTGTTTTAATTGGTACATGAACTCTTACATATAATGGAAAACTTTTTTGTGAGATAGATAGATAGATAGATAGATAGATAGATAGATAGATAGATAGATAGATAGATAGATAGATAGATAGATAGATAGATAGGTAGGTAGGTAGGTAGATAGGTAGGTATCAGTTTCATGCAACAATCCTTACTATGGTATTTGTGTAACTGAGACCTCCTGAAACTGAAGGTTCATAAAAAAAGAATTATGATATTATGATACTGGTCATGGGATCTGTAAGCAAATATTCCTCATATATCCTTCTTCATTATAAAGACCACAGCCTACTCTGTCGTTTCTTTCTCACTTGGTTGTACTTTAATATAATATGGAATATACTGTCAGCATCCTGAGAGTTAAAAAAAATTGGGATCACATGTGTTAGGTACGAGAAATACTGCTGATCTTTCAAGGAAGATATGGCTCCCCCTTGCTGGACAGGTTTTTCTGGACTGATTCACTATTAATTTAAAACATGCACGTGTCCCTGCTGCAACACACCTGAATAAAATAAACAGGTCATTAGCAAAACTATAGAACTTGACTGCATGCTGAGGTGGCGACCCCTAACAATACTCAAGTAAATCTAAATAAATGTAAGTAAATGTAAGTGTTTGGAAAAATGTACTTCTAAAAGTACTTTTATTGCATGTTTATGTTTATGTTCATTCACTCATGAGATGCTGTAACAGGAATCAATGGCTGAATGGCCACATCAGCAAGCAGTCAAGTTCTGCAGTCTGGCTAATGCCCTAATTTTATTCAGTGTGCTGCAGCAGGGACGCGTGTAAAGAGCTCCCTCGAGGACTGTTTGACACCCCTGGTGTTGGACCATCGCTCTGGATTTAAGCAGCAGAAACATCTGACTGCAGATATCTTTAGTTAAGACGTTTCTGACTCTGAAAGCCAACCAAGTGTTTGCTCGTTCACTATGACATAATGACCCTCAATCGCCATGATCCCTGTGTACCCTGATCATTTACAGGGAATGTGCCTGTGGTAATATTTCAGTGTACTGAACATGTACACAGATCGATGACACGCTATAAAGTTATTGTCCAGATTCCCGGTGTTTTTATCGTGCTGATACCCACTGCTTCTACGGCTTCATATGCACCATATATCATTCATCCAAGCAGGCAATCGGCTGGATTTGTTACGACAGTGCTTATCATGAGTCAGTGGCCTTTGATAACACAGTTTGCTGCTTTGCTTCGTGCTTTTTTTGGATGTAGATGCTCATCATGTCCCAGCATGCCTTGCAGAACTACACTGTAAAAAGTTCATCAGTTTAACATTTGGTTAACATAAAGAATCGCTGACACTCCTGTTTACTCGCCACTAGAAAAAGAGTTTCGTGTCCTACTGGACTGTTTGCGGGACCTCAAATGAACACAGGTTAAACACACAGACACACACACAAAATAGCATTGGAATAAAGGCACTATCTGCTTTAATATTATCTACTCTTAACTTGGTTCGTTTGACCACTCAGACTGTTGTAGCGAACCTGACAGTGCACGCAGCAGACTCTAAGAGGTTGACAGGTTTGTTGTCACAGATCAAAAAAAAGCTTTGGGGAAATCCCTCTCCTATATACATCGTGCGAAAGAAAGCACATGTTGCGCTACAACACATGTTGCGTCCAGGAATCTACGCCTGAAATTTAAAAAAAACACACACACAACAAAAACAGCACAAAAAAGGAAGCAGCCACAATGCAGCGCACATCAAAAGCCACCTATGAATGACGCTGTTTTCTAAACCTGCGGGGTGATGTAATGCCTGCCGCTGTTTGCTTCCCTGCAATGGTTTATGAAGAACAATGTCATTGTGTAGGAGCATTCATTATCACTGTGATGACAAATAATTTCAGATTACAGTTACAGTTACAACTTTGTGGTTAAGTGAAACCAGCGGATTATCTGTGACACAGATGAGTTGTAACATTTTACTTTTACAGCACATTTTACCTTAACTGCATTGTCCTGAGGATAAAGTCTTTTAAGTGTTTTAAGAATTTTTTACTCTTTTTAACTCCAAGCATTGATAATTAAATCCTGGCATTTAGGCATTGGAAGTATGATATTCCCGAGGATTATTTTTCCTAGTTAGGATTAGATTTTTTTTAAGTAGTCCTGGAGACGGACCTTGCATAGAGAGCATGCCTTCACTCTTCTCTCACTTGATTTTATGCAAATGCCCAGTTTTAACATAACGAATGCTGTAAATACAAAACGTCTGCAAATAAGTTTTAATGTGAGTCATAGTTCTGAAATTAGGGTACAGTACAAATGTCTAAATATCCTTAGATGTACTTACATCTACATGTTACTGTGCTCTAGAGAATCTGTTTTTCTGCAACAAATATAATGTGTAAAATACCCATCACTCATCATATTTATCATATATATATATATCAGATCATATTTTTTAACCTACTCATATGAGTTTCATGTTTGACCTCAACAGAAATATAAAATCAAAATAATATGGCCACATTATTGTCCTCCATGGCACCTCGTCTGTGCCAAATGAAATGATAAGAAACCACAGGCACACCGCAGGCTTTGACTCCCTTAAAATGTGAAACACTGACAATCTCCAAAAACAGGACAAACTTTATTGCTGACATTTAAACGTCTGTACATCTGAAAACAATTATAAAACCAGTGACTGTACAGTAGCACTTTGGATAATACTAACGTAAAAATTACATTGTATGAAGAGACAATAGATAGGCAAAATAAACCACTCCCCCCTTTTGACAGCCCTCACTGGCCAATGAGAGGGGGAGGAGGGCATGTGTGGATAGAGTATAAGAGAGATGACATCCAGGTGGAACATCACACAGGTGAGCATTCACATTCTGACATCTCCGCCTTTTAATGCCTGAGGATATTACTTTACTGCACCACACGCAGGAGTGCGCCTTCGACGGGTACGTCGATCTTTGCTGTGCTTATTCGCTCAAGTCAGCTTTTTTGTCGTTTCTTTTCATATGATGGTGTCTGATAAGTTAGAGAAGTGCTGTTGAGTTTATGTGTGACGGCTTCTTTCACTTCTCAGTTCATGTTTGACAAAGTTTTGACCACTGGCTCAACTGATGAGGTCGTCTTCTCTTTCCAGATCATCCTTTTGGTATGCTGACAGAAATGGAGACGGTGAGTTTGATCAGATTTTTTTGATACTTTCTCTATTTTTTGTTGGGCATTGTGTGAAGGAAGGAAAGGCATATTTATATATTTATAACTGGATCTGAGTGACAATGTGGTCTTAAATATTACCATGTCATCTATGTATAGACTGAGGGTAAAAGGCTACTGGAAAATGGGCTATGAAAAGCTAAGCCATATGGTACGGTTACCTGCATGTTATCTGTGGCCGTGAAAACACAAACACTTGCATAAATTTGCCAGTCAAACTAAAATACACATGCTTGCAGTGTTGTTCCTCGGCTCTTATCCAAAACACAAACCCTTCAGCACAGAGCTAGGATCAAATTCATTTCATTGGTGCGAGATTAAGTTTTGCAAATGTGTGCTATTTAAATTAATCCTATTATAACAATGAGCTGTGCTCCTTTTTTAGGGCTCTAAACAGAACGAGGCTCATTCAAAATTGATGAATGTGTCCGTCAGTGATCTTCAGATAGCAAAATCATTCACTGTGTGCATCACAGCACAACAGTGGCACACAACAGAACATCAATGGGCTTCATGAGAAGAAAGAAAGAAAACAAAACAAAATGGGTGTTATGTGTCATAGTAACGCCTCAGGCTATCACTGACAATAGATACAACAAATGCAAATGTTCATTATGTCCTGCCGTGTGTGTGTCAGATGGCTTATGCAACCGAACTCAAGCTAAGTGGAGGCAGGGGAGCCTGGAGTGGAGTGGCTCCTTCCTCCTGCCCTGAGGTTGACCTGGAAGTCATCGAGGAGTACCTGCAGGAGCATTCACTGGAGGTCCAGCCTGCACACACGCCTGCATCACCTCTGACCTCAATGGGGCAACATATACACTCCCACCAAGGCAGCAGAATTATAGGTTAGTGTCATGATGGTAATGATGGCCGGGGGGGGAAGATAAGAGAGATGCCAGAGTGTGTCTGTGGATTATTTCTACATGTATCTCTTTTGTGTTTCTCTATAGAGAATAGTTGGTCAGGTCAGCATGCTTACGAGTGGCACTGTGGCTCTCACAGTGAGGAATACAGACAGCAGCCCCAAGCCTGGCCTAGTCCCCATGACAACCAGTGGGTAAGTTCAAGAACCTCAACTTCCTGGTAAATTTAGCCTTAATTATCTTTTTCATACTGTGTGAGAGGCACGATCAACTCGAAGTAGAATTTAGACTAACATGAGCCATTTCATTGGTGTTGTATATGATTTATAAAGATAGTTACACGTTTTTGTCTGTGTGTGTGTGTGTGCGTGTGTGTGTGTGTGTGTGTGTGTGTGTGTGTGTGTGTGTGTGTGTGTGTGTGTGTGTGTGTGTGTGTGTGTGTGTTCACCACAGGGACACATAGCATATTCCGATGAGGCATCTGGATACATTGACTCAGATTCCCAGTCCAGTAGCTCCCAGTACCAGGATTCGCCGTCACCATCCTCTGACACAGGGAGCAGGAAGGACAGAGATCCCCTGCCTCTTGCACCACTGTCAGGTAGAGTGGCACACACACACACACACACACACACACACACACACACACACACACACACACACACACACACACACACAGACATAGACAGAACCACATTTGAACATGTGTGTAAGAACTAAAACTCTCAACAGCCTACAAATACCAAACGTCTCCCACACAGCATTCTGTTTTCATGCACGCACATATGAGACAGTGTTACCTCATATTTGTATTTACATCCCCTTTTTCCTCCTAAGGAAAGAGGAAGGAGCGGCTGTTCCAGTTCCTGTTTGAGATGCTTCAGACGCCATCGATGCGTAGCTGCATCTGGTGGGTCCAGTCCTCCTCTGGCACATTTCAGTTCTCTTCCCAAAACAAGGAGAGCCTGGCCCAGCTGTGGGGTCGGCGAAAGGGGAATCGCAAGCCCATGACGTACCAGAAGATGGCACGGGCTCTAAGGAACTACTCTCGCACAGGCGAGATTCACAAAGTTAAACGGAAGCTCACTTACCGCTTTGATGAGAAGACGCTAAAATGTCTACAGGGAGACTCAAATACAAAGTAGAAACAATGAGTCTATGTTAGCATAGAAATAGAATAAGGACAAAGGATGTCAAGGGAAATCACTTTGGGTGTCCCATGAATCTCGTGTCTGCTTATTATAGTTCTGTGGCATTTTGAATAACAAATGAATACTGAGTATTTGAAAGCCAGAAGCGGATGCACCGTAGCTCAGAGTCAGTTATACATACAGACCCACATTGTATTCAGTGTGAGGGGAAGAACTGTAAATGCAAACTTCAGGTACAGGCTAGGTGGGATAGGTGATCTGGCTTTTATCATGTAAATCGAAAAGGTTATTGTAGAACATCTACTTTATAAGTAGAACTTAAATCCTTCAAATAAAAGTAGCATATTTCTCTTCTTTGTGTGTGATTCTGTATCGCAGATATTTAGCAGATACAGTTTACAATCATCTTCTTCATTTTGGTTAAGAAAACATGATCTGTTTGTGTCAAAAATGTCTTTTTTATGATAAAATAAATCTGCACATATTTTTGAACATCTGACTATATGCTTGTGTGTGTGTGTAAAATGCTAAAGATAACCCGTACAGTGCATGTGGCTCAAATAAACACAGACATGGACGGACAGACCTGCACCCACAGCCAAAATTGTATGCAAAGTGAGCATGCAGGGAAAAACCGCCACTAAAAACAGACGTGTTAATCAGTAACATCTAAAGAGTTTGCACACACAGAAGCGAGCACACACAGATACACACCCTAACTTTGATGAGAAGTAGACTTTTTTTTCTATAAAGCTGCCAAACTGAGTGTCAATCCCAAGTTAAATAAACAATAGTACCTATTGTACTATTGTACTAGTACTTGATTTATAGAACACACTCACAGGTTTTGTTCCAGTAGTTTCTTCGTGCCACATTTGCAATGTCAGGTAGTAAAAGTGACTCATTGGTGTATCATGTATTGTATTTCTGTATGATTTTGACCTGTTTCGATACTTTCATTCCAAAAGAAAGGCAGAAAAGAAATTCTACCTTTTCCTGAAATCCACGTTTCCTTTACTGCGGTTACCAAGTACCTCGTGGCTTAAAATTTAACAGTCAAAACTAAGATCTACTCTTGTAGATCATTCTCTCCACTAGTAAAGACTAGTGATTTTTATCCTTAAGCTGTAAGGGTCAGAGTAAAATGCAACTGTAATAGAAATTCAGTCAGGTAATAAACATAACCATTATATGTCATTAAAAACCTTTGTCTTTATGGGACTTTTGTTTGCATGAAAGCTTTCGCTTTTGATTCATTTGATACGTGTTGCTGAGGACACATCTCTACTTGGACTTGTCGTAACAGAACTTTTAAATGTCATCTTGCTGCAACTCCAACTTTCCTTCACCCCCCACAGCACGAAACACACCCCTTTTGTGGAAAAGCCACATTTACATTATTGGGAGTAGGGAAAGGCTCTTCACTTACTGATGAAATACAGATGGCGTCTCCATGGAGTGCATGCCTGTTGTTCGTGCACGTACAAGCGCATGCATGTTCGCATATAAAAAGTGTCAGCTCAGTGCCTTTGTTGCTAAATTGAAGCGAAAAGCAACAAGAGACAAACCATCGAATGTGTTGGATGTTACTCAGCTGCCTTCGAGGAAACTCGTTCTGTCATTCGTAACAGCTTCTGGTTGTCTTGCTCTAATGGCTGAATGGAGCTGGGTGGCCTACACAGTACTGGAAGTGCTTATTGCTGCAGCATGTTGCTTTGGTAACGTGTTGGTGATGTGTGCTGTGTGTTTCGGTATCCGGGATTCCCTTCGGGAACCAACATTCTGCTTCCTCGTGTCCTTGGCAGTGGCTGACTTCCTTGTGGGTGTGGCCGCTGTGCCCCTTGCAGTATTATTGGATGGCTGGGTGAGTCTAATCCCCGAGTTGTGCCTGCTTCTCAGCTGTGTTGTGCTGGTGTTGACGCAGGCATCTGTGCTGTCACTGCTAGCAATTGCTGTGGACCGATACCTGCGGTTGCACACACCACTCAGGTGAGGTGAACTCTGGGTCTCCTGTTTTGTGAGTGAACACTGTGATATTTTCAGGTTTTCCCTTTTATTGTGCTTTATCCCTCTTTCAGATACAAAGCCTTGGCCACACAAAGGCACACATGGATCGGCGTGTCTGTTTGCTGGATGCTTTCATGTCTCCTTGGCTTCACTCCTCTATTCGGCTGGCACAATTACTCCTCCCCAGCATCTGATTCTACCAACACATCTTCCACTTCTTTCATCCGTCCGCCGTGCACTTTCCTCTCAGTTATCTCCCTCCCTTTCATGGTCTACTTCAACTTTCTCGGATGTGTCATGGCACCCCTGCTGGTCATGACCCTCCTCTACACTCGAATCTTTTGGAGCCTACAGGGACATCTAAAGGACAGCTGCCCTCAGTCCCGGGCCTCTCTGCTCAGGGAGAAGAGGCTGGCCTGCTCCCTGGCTCTCGTCCTCATCTTGTTTGCTGGCTGCTGGATTCCTCTCCACCTGATGAACTGTCTGCTGTTGTTTCAAGGCCCTCAGGCTGTCACACAGGGAACGCTCTATACAGGCAGGTGACAGTACTTTTTCTAGCCCTTACGCAGTTTGCAGCTGGTTGTTAAATATTCGAGAGCATGTGACTCATTAACACCACTTGCTGTGAAATGTAACACTAGCCAATCCAAATGTTCCAGGTATTCTCCTGTCTCACGCCAACTCAGCAGTCAACCCTGTGATCTATGCCTGTCGCATTCCAAAGATCCAGCAGGCCTACGGTCAATTATGGAGGCGCTTCCTTGCGTGGTTAAACTGTTGCCATCGGGAAAAAGCAGGTTCGCAGGTCATTAACATGCAGCTGAGCCATTAACATACACATCTGGATAAAGATGGAAAAGCAGTCTCCAATAAGGGGCCTTTTGGACTTTGTCAGGAAGTTTGTATCTGCTCATAGAGTCTGTGTTCAACCATCATGTAAAGCTTTATTAAAGCGAATCACATAGACTGGGGAAAGAAGCCAGTTGAGTGTAATTTCCATTTATGGATATTTGTGCAAACTTTATTCTACAGATAGCAATTTCCTGTGTCTCCACTAGAGGGCGGCACACACTAACCATCGGCACAGCTCCTGTTCGACGACAATCACAACTGCAGTGTGTGACAAATAATTTCAAGCTGCCATTCACTGATTTTTGGACAACTTATTTAAGACAAATGTGACTTTATTAAAATGTACATCTTTTAAAAGCACATAAGTTAACACTTCCAGTCAATTCAACACTAATCATGCTGCGTGTCTTCCTCCTCCTTTTTTATTATATCTGGCAGTAAACGTCATACTTGAGCCATGAGCATGTGTTGTATGTTCCTCAGTGTGCAGCGAGCTCCTCAGGGAAGGCAATAGACTGTATAGTTATCACCTGAGCAGGGTGCAGTCCCACCCACCAAACTATACAACCTACTACCTCACCCTGTCAGAGCCCAAGTCAAACACACCCCAGGTTCACCTTTCTAAAAATGTTGGGCCTATTTACCTGCTCGGCGTGAAAACAAGAATAAGACTGCTGAAAGCTCGTGTTTTTGCTTGGAGACGGCAGTCGGCGAGCGGCTGACTCGGCTGTCTCTTGGGAAAGACAGTAGATTGTATAGTTATTTAAAAAAGAGGTTACACAACCCCACAACTATTCAATCTACTACCTCAGCTCCAAGGACAGCATCCACGTTGCTTCAACATCGAAGATCCGCAAAGGTATCCTTCCTGCAACGGCACAAAGAAAGAAAGCGCTCAATAATATTAACTAACTCACTGAAATCATCTGGTTATTCAAGTTTTATTCTCGTGTACTTTTAAAAGTTACATTTTTCACAATATCTTCGAGTGACGTGTTGAAATTCAACCTCTGCAAAAAGCAGCCTCGTTGCATTTTTGCTTTTGTTCTCCGTGTCTGTTTTATTTGGTTTAAAATAGGTACGGCTCAACGTCACGAGTGAAAGTGCTCACGCCTCACGCCAACAAGTCTACAACTGCCAAGATTTGGAGAAACATTTATCGCTTCTAAACAAAAGAAGATCCTCACGATCGACCCCGTTTTTCTGTAACGTCTTTAAGAAACACGTTCCGCTAAAATAAATCAGAGGCAAATCATTTTAACGGTGAGTGGACGACGGAAAGTGAGAGCACTAATGTGTGAAAGCCCAACAAACAACTCACTGGCTTCCTGAGACTCTGGCATGTGATCGAAAGAGAGAAAAAAAGCGAGCTGCTCGATTCTGTGCCAGGAATCCTCCGTTTTCGCCAAAAACTGAGCTCATTGCAGCGGCTATCCCTGTGCAGGCTGGCTGCTGCTCCTCAGACGGAGGTACACACACAGATGCCTGCAAATATGGCTTCCACCAGCTGCCTCTCATTGAATACAAAGCTGGGATTCTGCCCCCCAAAACACAACAACGAAACACAAAATGGCGTCTTGCACATCGGCCATTTTAGGTCTGCTTTAAAACACTGTAAGGGTCTACCTTTTAGGTTTTTCGTGAGCTTGCTGCATCGTGATGAAGAAAGCACAGCTGTTCTATCAGGAGTGATGGAGAGTCAGTCCTGTGCCAACACTAAGGCGAAGCCAAAAGAGCCAGACGACACTCTATCACGGAGCGAGAGGGAAACTCTAACTTTACTTATCAGGCAGCTGGACGAAGCCACGACCGCGTGCAGCATGTTTCTGTCCGTGTAATGTTTCAGTAGCACCCTCACAGAGCGGGCAGGCATTTTGCTCTGTTAAAGTTTGATTCATTTGGGAAGTCGTTGCTTCTCCTTCAGCCATTACCAGTTAAACTATTGCTAAACATGAGATAAAGATTAGCTCCGTGCACATCAGGTTGACATGCCAGTAACTGCGGGGTTAATGAGTGGCAGACAAATGGCAGGCCGGGGCCTCAGACTAACAGAGATGAGGTTAGAAGGTACACCGCCTGCATAAATTAGCATACAGCCACGACCCCTGAGACTTGGTCCAGACCAGCCTATAGTTAGCATGCAGTAGACCCTGCTAGACTGACTACAGAAGACCAGACAGACAGAATGGGTGGGGGTGCGCTGGCGTGACGCCCGACTCTGTCACCACGCCAGTGACAGATCTATGGGCTCTGCTTAGTCGCCAAGAAACGTCCCCCGACTGCAGCCGCGTTCGGAGGACGAGGCTGATACGACACAGCGCTCTCGGAGAAATGGGTCAAGTTAACGAAGATTTAACAAGACATCCGAGTAGGAAAACATGCACACAATAAATGCTGGTGGGGAGTTCTGTGCTTTCTGGGTTAATTGTGCAAAACCGGAGTCGACGCGGTCAGTCACGTGCCGGGCGCAGATATTTTCCGTGGCGCTTACAGCAGGTACGTATGTCCCGGCTGGCCCGATAACTTTTTCTTGAAAATAAACGCAGCTCTCGTCTGCGGGGCAGCTGGAGGAACTTGGAGAAATCTGGCCTTCTGAGCTAATCCCATCTGCCTATCAGACAGACTGTGCATCTGTCACAGCAGAATCACGGCTGAATGTTTGTAAATTCACAGCGGCGGTTTCAGTGTAAGCCAAGAAACGTGGGCCTTGTCCACTCGTACCCTCTGATAACACGACTCTGCTGTGACCAACCAGGATGTGTTTTTCTGGAGGCGATTTCCTGCTTCGGCCTTGTCATCCTTCTCTGGGTGACAGTCACACGTGTATTTCGAGGTTTCCAAAAGCCTCTGACAGTTTGAGCTCTTTGGCATCACTTTTCTCTATAAAGCCCACAGAATAAAATTTCAACATCAAGTCTTTTTATACCAGTTACTAAACTGGGAGGCCTTTTTAAGAAACACTTTGCCTTCATTGTGTTTTTAGAAAGAAGCCAAAGTGGACTTTTGTGGACCGCAGACTAAAATCAGAATGGATGGTTTAATGTTTTAATGGACATATTGACCACGCCGTGCCCACTCATTTTGTCCTCTCTTCTTTCTTTCTAAACATGTCGATGTCAAACAAAGAGCAAACGCCATTAAAACGGCGAGCAAAGGGAACCAGGTTTTACAAACTTCACGTCTCCACATTAAAACAAACAGAAACCCACGTGAAAAAAAGGATTAAGAATATAATGGAAACCAGCCTTAGCTCCTCTCCTCCACTGACGGGAGGATTCAGACTTTGTCCCCACCGGGCGATTTATTCCTTGTCCGATGCAAACAACGTAAACACGCGGGTTAATTATCGAATCTCAGAACACTCGCAGCATACCCAGTTGCCAACAAAAGTCCTCAAAATTGGAGCAGATTATCGCAGGAAGCAGAGGCAGGAAAACACCTATTGGCTCGCCTGGTCCCTCGGTCCGCGAGACAGAATGAATGTTTGGCACAGACACAACGGACGGGCACCACACCATTGGTACAGGTTCTTGTGTGTTTCTCTCTCTTTCGCTCTCTGAGCTTTGTGCCAAGAATGGACAGAGTCTGTGTGCCAGGCAGAATTTCAATAAGGGGAGTAAGGAGGTGGAGGTGGTGGTTAAAGAGGGGGAGGAGCGGTGGCGTTGATGGAGGAAGTAAGCCACAATAGATGGCAGAGTGAAGAATTCCCCGACTGACTGCTTGTCTAACTCACGTCCATTCTTACTGATCCTCTTAAAAGCACCATGGTGACTTTATCACACAAGCTTTCATCCTCCCACTCTCTCAGGAACGTCCTGCATTAGAGGACGAAGGAGCACTGAGCCTCTACCATCCCACTTGGCATGGTGCCCGCTCTGATGTTCTGTATATCCTCATTAGCTAGGCACAACACACAGCTCACGCTCGCATGTATGCAGAGATATGCTGCCATATGTGTGTACTAACACAACCGTACACTGGTACAGACAACACAGCACAGTTGCTCAAACTGTGGGCATTAAAGGAGCTCAGTTGATCTTGATTAGATGAATGGTAATTAAATAAAAAGGCTTCCAGGCTTTTGCGATCAGTGTTTTGGTTTTGTGCAGTAGATGGCTGCACAGACAAATGCTGAACTGACATGAGTCAGCCTGAGCGCTGGATAAACATGCTGGACAGTTTGTTTGAGGAAAAGATATATGACCCAGATACGCCAAGAGCATATGGGAGTCACTGTGCTGACTATCAGCTTCCAACAACAACCTGACCCATAGATACACATATAGACAAGGAGCTATGGCTGACAGGCCAAACAGCCAATCTGCAGGCTTGGGCTGTGTGGACAGTCCTCCAAGTAGTCGAATGACTAGTGTGTGTCTCTAAAATCTCCGAATGAAGAAAGGTCGCTTTCCTCCTCTCCATCTACTTTCTCTGTCCTCTCATCTCCACTTGTCTATGCTTTTGCTAATGTGCTAATGAGATGTGTGGTTACCATGGTTTCAAATGTTTCTGATAGCTCAGAATCCTGGCCTTGCATGTCGCTACACGCCCACATGTTAGAGCATTTACAAATGCCACACGGTGCAGACTGTACACAAGCATGCACGTATACAGCATATAATCACAAACACTTGGAAAGGTATGCCCTTTCAAAGCCAGTGCATGTGTGCGCGTGTGCATGTGCATATTTGTGCACATGCACACAAAGAGAATGCGTGCAAAAGTGCAAAGCAGTGTATGTCAGGACGAAACAGCTGCAGCTTCCTGCATGAGAAGAGAAACTTCCTGTTGCTTCGCTCCAAACCGCGGTCGGTCAGCCAAGATATCAACCAATCAGCTATGTCGAGGCTGAATGAAGGAAGTAAGCCTGACTGCCTCTAGGAGAAAAACTCAGAAGCATTATGAGGCAACACGATAAGTTCATCTGAGGATACGAGAGGGGCGGGGAAAGAGCACTCCCACTCCTACCTCTCTTTCTATCTCTGTAACTTTTGATCTCTATATTTTTTCAAGCCCTTTTTCCTCTTAACGTTTGTCTTTCTTTAGTACCACATTTTGATATGCAAAAAATCCAAAAAACAAACAAACAAAAAACTAGTTTACTTTTGTTATGCAGCCATTTGCCACTTTATGCGAAAGATAAGCAATCAGAAAAAATAGAGACTTGACAGAATAGCATAGCCGCTAATTGTGAGGGGTATGATGAAAAGGTCTGATGGTGTTCACTGTTTACACGTGGCATGAAGGCGCCATTTTAACACCAACCCATATTTAGATGCAATATGCAGCTCTGGCATAAAGTTGTCCAGTTAGGTTCCTAATTACATGTACAGTAAGCAGATATTTCAATGTAATATCTGACCAACTAAATTTGGTTAAATTATTGCAACGGCTCTTGGTCAATATGCACAGTCGCTTGTCTAATTCAAGTGCAGTGTTCTGGTCTCTGACATACAGCTGTAATCACAATTACCCTTATATACGACAGTTTTACATGTTGCCTAAATACACACCAGTCACACAAATGCTACCGCTCATCTTTAAATTTCTTCTTCTCATGTGGCGTGTCAAAAAACAACAACAACAACAAAACCAAATAAAACAAAACATTCGTCTCACTACTGAAAAAACCTTTTTCTTTACAGCATCGTCAGTTTCATTTCTGCCCAAAGCTTCCTCTGAAATGTAAAGTATATAAAGATGTTAATGACGCAGTGTTGTAGCAGCTACCTTTTGGCAAACAGACACAACTCTAGACTGAAAAAGCATAAAACTGGACACACAACTGCACCAGCAAACATGTTTCTGTGAAACTTCTGCCATATATCAGACTTTTTACAGTGGCTAGAAACAAAGGAAGTAAATATTGTCCTTATATTATCTCTATCGCCATGGCCCCGGATGATAAGAGATTTGTGCCTCACTCGTCCCATAACAGCTCTTCAACACTGGTTAGCACCTATACTTACACTAACCTGAAGCTTACAACCATTCTCAAGCCACACAACCCTCTGAGGTCAGTGAGTAACCAAGAAGGCCTGTCGTCCCTCCTACCAGTCTCCACAGAGACACCTGTTCAATACAGAAAACCACAGAAAATACTGTTGACCCCCCCGTCAGAGCCTGCTGTCCTGCGGCAAAGAGGGGTTCAGGTTAAGACAGAAAGAGATAGAAACACCAGGGGAAAGAAGACTGTCAGCAGGGAGTCGCAGTGTCCCTCTGAGCTCTAGAAAAGTTTCTCCTGTCATGTACATTGAGCCAAAATGGCGCCGAGGAGAGTGCGGCGTGGCAACCGATAACAACAGACAACGTTTAGGAGAAAGACCACGATAAAGGACAGAGAACAGGGCGAGAGGAACTCGGGGAGACAGACTGCAGGGAAAAGGTGTCACAGGATTAAAAAAAGGGAAATACCTGAAGCCTGTAGTGAGCGGCGGGCTGGGCCGGACGACTGACGGAGAAGAGGGCCGTGATGGCGGGAAGAAGGGAAAAGAGAGGAGTAGAGCACACCCTCTGAGAGCTACACCCCCTTCCCACAATCCCCTCCTACTGGCGTGAGTGCGTCTGTCCGTACACGAGGTGACAGAGGGACGTCTGCTCACACACAGCCACTGTGACACACACGCGAAAAGAAAATACATACACACACAAACGACAATATCAAACACACCAACAGCAAAGAGGTCCAAAACAGACCAGCAGTAGACTTGCATTACTGTCAGTGGCGTATAACCAAAACAGAGTCAAACACGAGAAGACGCCAACAACAGAGGAGTTAAGAACACAGACATACACATAATCAAATCACCAGCCTTTGGATCACCCTCTGCTCTGCCCTGTGCTGTGTTTGCCTCGGTCTGCCAGCCCACTTTGGCACCGCTGCCAAGAGGGAAGGAGAGAGAAGGACGGGAGGAGGTGGGGGGTGCAGAGACACAGAAAGAGGAAGGGAGTGACATGCTGTAGCGAGAGAAGGAACAGAAAGAGGAGGAGTCCGAGAAAAGAGTTAAGACTGAGAGTGTGCCACAGAAAGACAAGGAAACAAAGTACGAGAAGAAACGTCAAGTGTCGTGAGCCGACGCGGCGACACAAAACAGTCCGGTATCGGCTAACGTACACCTTTATTATCCAATATCCAAAACGCACCTCTGTCCACATACCCCACTCATACTATCCTGCAGCAACAGACAGATGGCGAGAGAGACAAGCAGATCCCGACACTTCTGCCATATTGTTGCATCTCACCATGTTCATACAGTCAATAGATTTTTTTTAAAGAAGCTCAAACTGGCTTGAGATTTCTTATATACGCTGTTGGACTTTTGTTTTTCAAGTTCTCTCACCAGAAAAAGGATTCCTGGCAGACTTCCTGTCTTTTTTGACATCTCTGTTCTGCCCGTTTTTCTTTGCGTCTCCCCTCAATCCGTCCTCTCTCCCTCCATTGGGGATAATATCAGCCCTCGTGAGAGGGAGGGCTTTGAGAGAGTTCAGCTAAATGAATCAATGAGCAGGGAGGGTGGATACTTTCCCCCCCTGCCTTTGGCATCCTTCCCAGGTTTCCCTTTGCTTTCTCACCCGAGCATGATAGTTCAACACCAATGCAGATCTTGGATCAGCGAGCTGTCGCCTCTAGATGACCTCAATCATTAGGAGAGAAAACATAAATCCATCTGCTCATTAATGGCCGACCTTCTCTGTAGCCAGCTTGCGGGCCAATCATTGGTGCTGAAGCGGGTATCCCAAGCCGAGCCAACCAATCAGCACTCACCTCCGAGCTGATGTCATTTTGAAAATACTGAGTGTAACTCTAAAAAAACCCAGGAACACTCTTCTACCATTCGATTCAAGCAACCAATTACAGACAAAAAGCAAAGCTTGTTTCGAGTGAAACGCCTAATTCGTTGTCGCAGCTGCTGTAATAATAGCGGCGGAGTCCTCTGACTGGCCAAACAGATACCAACACACACATTACCAGAGGCTTCTCTCAGTCTTCAAACACCAACTGCGGACACAAAGCAGACCACAATAGCCCAGCTTCTCTGCTTGAACACCACAAGTTTTTTCTCAAAGACAGGACAATGGACGCACACACACATACACACACGTTCATACTGTACACACGCACGCACACACACACGTGGTGTGAAGAATCCGGTTCTTCTATGGAGGCTCAGATTCAGGCAGCAGGTTGGACAGCCCCTCAACCCTGACGTCACGTCTCCTTTGTTGTTTATGAATTTATTTCTCTCCTCAGCTGAACTCTCTGAACTCAAAGTCCCCACACCCCTCCATTACTTCCCTCCCGCCCTGTCCTCAAGCCCTACATTTACCCCCTGCCAACAAAGGCGGGCAAATACAGTATGGCTTTAACAAGGAAGAAGAAAAGAAAAGGAGAGACGGGCAGAAGGCAGACACAGAGACGCGAGACAGAAAGATCGAGAGAAAGGAGCTCAGATGTCTTTCTCACTTTTTCTTTTCCTCCTTTTCTTCTTCGATCGCTCTCCGTGTGTCTTCCTGCTTGGCTTGTAAAAGTTTCAGCTGCGAGGCGGGCCGGCCTCTTTTGGCAGCCCTCCAACTCTCGACTCTCCTGTCCCCCTGCAAGAGAGAAAAGGAAGGGAGGACAAATATAGTCACAGCTAGACGGCACTGTAAAGTTGTAGATACAGATGCACTCTAAATGCACAGCAGGTTTTTCTTACACACACTTCACACTAATCCATAAAGGAAGAAAGCACCGTGGGGCATTTTGTCAACATTTGCCACCAGTTTTCAGTAAAGCATAATCCAGCGGATAATAAGTAAACTACGTGCTAATCACTGTGTGAGCCGCCGTGTGTATTTTCAAAAGGCACATTGTGATGTTTGCCTGCCTTTAACTGGCTCTGCCAGCTGAATTTGATAACTGTGTGTTTTGGTGTTCACACCCAGTTCACACAAGGACACGCCGCCCGCTTTATTTCTCCTGGTATCAATAACCTGAGCAACTCGGGTGCTTGCATGCACAGTTATATTTACTGTAGCACACAAAAACCTCTACCTGCCAAATATTTGCATTAATTCAAAACACATAACCTGTGTAAATGGGCCCTGTTTCAAAGTCTAGGCAGACACACACACAGACACACACACAAGACTGACAAGTTACACTGTTACTGATTTACTCACCTTGGTTTTCGTGCAAGATCACACACACCGATACTTCTAATGCTGATGTATTTACTCATAAACTGTATCCTAATCAATTAAAAAATGAACTTATATTGTGCTTTACTACTTACTATATACTTTATAACAGGTCAGGCTTATTTACAGGTTAAGTATCTTCTCTTAATATAGGTTAAAAAAATTTAAATAGATATTTATTAATTTTTTCTGATCTACATAAGAAAATACAAAATCATATTTAAATCTCGACATTTAACAAATAGGGTTAACTTAAGTAAAACATGTTATATATAGCTGCTCAAAAAAACATAAATCATAAATCAACATGAAGAGTAGATTTAAGAGGCCTTAGCCTCAGAATTATTACATTCCCTCTTCTATTATGTGTAAGGATAAACTTAGCTACTGATTATGAAATGTGAAATACTGTAAATGTTTATTGAATGCTGGTCTACAGTCCGTGACCTTAGCGCAACATTGAGTCACCTTCAGCTAACTTATCTCTAAAAACTAAATGTAGCTTCTCCAGTAGCTCCTTATTAAACTAGATGTTGAAGAGCATTTTAAACACAGAAATTTTTAAACAAAATAAATAAATAAATTTAAAAAACGCCAAAATAAAAGTTCACGTTTCCTAAAATGACAGATAAAGTTTGCGCTCACCTGTGGGAGACTCTAGAGGAGAGAAACAGAGGCTAGCCCCACTAGCTTGTAGCCTGACTGTAACTTATATAGGGATGAAAGGGGTCGCCAAAGGGGCTGGACATGTGGGCCTATATGAGCAGGTGTAACCCAGCAGTTAAAATAGGAAATAGTAAATAAAAAACGTAAGCGTGAGGTTAATTTGTATAAAAGAGCATCTCAACAAACACGAGCAGCTCACTGACTGTGGTCAAAGTACCGTTTTTTTGTACTTTGTTCAATGGAGATTGATGTGGCGCTCCATCTAGTGGTAAAAGGGGGTAAATGCATACACTCTTTGGCTGAAGATGTATCATTGTGGACCACTTAATTTTCTGATTTTTATTTTTCTTACAGGACGATATTGCATGTTTTAGCTTAGATAAACAGAACTGTATATTTCATTAATAGTGTTAATAGTAACGGTGTGTGGGGGAGGGATTTCTAAAGGTCCGTTCCTATGCAGCACACAATGGCTTTAGAAGGTGAGTAAAAGTTAGTATGAGGAATAATACATGTAAAACTTACCAAAACTTGCTTGGTTAGATTAGCTTGAATAGTTTCCAGGGTAGATGCATTCAAAATTGCATTGTGCATTTCCTGCCATTCAAGAAAGTTTCCATTATCAAGTGTTTCCTACAATCCGGAATAATCTAGCCTCCAGCACTCTGAGTGTGGATGAGTATTGAAGGATAAGAGAGAGAGAGGCTTATTCAAGATAATTTAATTAAAAACATGCAACACAAAAGCAATGACAAAAAATGAAATAATAAAATGAATGAAAATGAAACATAAATAATTTAGTCATTGCATTAGGTTAGTAATGTCAAAGCCCAAGGGAAGAAACTACTGGTGGCATGCTACTTGTGTGCAGCTTGTCAAATGGCAGCAAGGCAAACAGGTTGTGACTGGCTATTTAGCCTACTTGCAGTAACAGAATAGAAAATATAATCTTTTAAAAAATGGAGAACCTCTTCAAAGTTCATAATAGCTATCCCTTTTGTTTTGAATTTTATACCTCCACCTTTCTGCTCAGTCACTCTGAAGTGTTTCTAAAAGCTCAGTGAAAAATGAAATACCTGATCTCCACTTCAGCCGGAGTCCTCACTGGGAAAGGATAGCACTTTGTAAAGGCAGGCTGAGATGCAGACATGTTTGCACATGTCAAAATTAAACCAGGAAAATTCAGCCAATGTTTTAAAAAAGAATCTTACTGCTGCTGTGTAGTTTTCTCTCTGATGTCTATCACCAAGCACCAAATGTTTCTCAGTCACTGTGACTTGCACAAATCATCCAGATCGGTTTTGAAATCTTAGATTTTTGCCATCAGATTTCTGGTAATGCCATTCTTCCTAATTCATCTACAACTAAAAGATCAAGCATATTCATGCGTTTCCTAAAATCAGAGGGCTAATTAAAAACAAAACAAACCCACAATTTGCCACTTATTTCTTTGGTCAATGCAACTGACTAGGGCTGCTCAATTAATCGAATTTTAATCACGATTACGATCTGGGCTTTCAACGATCATTAAAAATGACTGAGCCGATTATTAGCCCCTCCCTCATTTATCCGCGACACCTTAAAGGCCGGTCCGTGAAAATATTGTAGGGCGCAAAAAAGGTTGGAGACCGCTGATTAAGAGGATCCGAGGGAAGCCCGGAAAGCTAAACAGAAGTTATTTGGAGAGGAGAGTGACTGCCGCTGGTTGAAAAGAGAGGTAAAAAAACTTCAGTGGTGTTGCACACTATTTTATATTATTTTTTAAAGTCATTGTTAACCCTTTAAAGCCGGTCAGAGCAGCACGCTCCGTGTTGTGTAACTATTTTTAAATCCCTGTAGAACCTGAACCGTGTAAGCTAGCGCAATAATTTGTTTTGCATATGAAACCGGAGGAGTTGTACTTACATCTGATGCCATCAGCTTGTCCTCGGTCACAGTTTCCTTCCACATAAAGCTTTGCAAAAACTGCATAAAAAGCTCTTGCAGGAACAAAAACACAATATTCCAGAAACACGCTTTGCCGTTCCTATCAGCTGTT